GTTCAGCAGCAGCAGAAGAAAGGGTGGCTGATAGGGAATTTGGACAGACACCTAAACTGGCATGCAGAAACGAAATTCCTTTGCAGGCCTGACTGTATAACAAAAAAATGCAGCTGCTTACACAAATGTGTATGTCTGATTGGCTGGGTAAGATCTTGAAAGCTAAACCACGGTAGCCCAAAACTCGGGACCTCTCATGTTGTGTGACAGCCCTGTCACGGTGGCAGCAATAAACTGAGCGCTCTAGTTACAGCGTCCTCACCCTGCGAGGCGCCCATCTGGCAGCATAGCGCAGCGCGTAGAGAAGGGGAGGACGCTTGCAGACCCGTAAGGAGTCGCGCTGAAGCCAGCATAGCTCACGGGGGAACACCATTTTGTCCACGCAAGTGTAATTGCAGAATTGGGGCTTGCGAAAGGACGTGCAACTGTGGCTGGGGTGAAGGCAAGGCATACTTTGGACCACATCTGCCCGTCTGTAACATCTGTTTTCTGAAACGAGAGGCTTTTAATACCCATGCAAAGTACACGGGACCTGTGCTTTTTGTGGAAAGCCCCATGCAAAGTAGCCTTTATGGAGCTGCTCTGTTCTGGAAATAACAAAGGCTGAGTCAGCCCAGACGAGATTGTTCAGAGCTTTTTTGTATGAGATGAAACCTTTTCTTTTCTCCTGAGATCCACAGAAATGAAAAGATGTAAAGGCATCTGGAAAAGGAATAAGAATATTCGCATATGAACACAGCTCACATGATTGCAGTGCTGTGAATTTGCCTCGGTTGAAGCTCTCTTTTCCTTGCCACCCTGCAAAGCCACAGCTTGAATTGGCTTCTCCTGAGCAGCTTGAGTAACTTCTGGAGGAGCCATGTCACCCCCAATCCAGCCCTGAAAACTCAGGGGAACTCCCTCCCTGATGTAATATTGTGAGTCTGAAAAACTCCCTGAAACTTTCCCTCCAATTGCATTGATTTATTTTGGGGGGGGTGTGCCAAAATTATTAGAGATTAACAAACATCTGACAGGATGGGTGAGGGTAAAGGTCTCTTCTCCATCAATGTGTAACTTGGGCAGCTGCATTGCATAAGCTGCCTGCATGGTGCAAGCTGCAGCAGCATCAGTAAAAACCCCTCTGGAGAGGGGGAAAGGAAAAGGTGGTGGACTCAGCTTTGGAAATGGGTAGCATGCTTAATACAGGAAAACTGCAAGTTTGCAGCGGGGCTTGAATAAACAAAGGCTTAAATAGAAATGGAGCCAGACCTGTTGGAGACTGCTGGGATACTTTGTGGTCTGGAAGGGGAATCTGCTGCTTTCCCTAGAAAGCCTTTTCTCCTATCCTACAGGGCACTGAGTCGGGCACTTTGGAGTCCTGACAGTGTGAGCAAGGGGAGCTGGTAGAAATGCTGTGTGGAGTTAGTGCATTCACAAAGCTTTCTCCTCAGTCTCTCTTCCCCAGGGGTGTAAGGAGGCTGAATGAAGGCTGCAGGAGTGGATCGCTGACTTTCCTAGCATTACCACGATAGGGAAAAGTCCCTGCTGTGAACTGGAGCCTGCAGTTGCAGGTGACTTTGGTAGATTTTAAGTTTCCTGGTCTGCAAGTTGTTAAGCAGGTCAATGTTTGCATAAGGTTTGTGTTTCTGTCACGGACTTTTGAGACGGTTAAACTTTGCTTTTGCTCAAGTGTCCTCTGAGCGTGTCTTGAAATGCTATGGGAGGAGGGCAAGTCTTCTCGCCAGGACCTGAGTTGCCCATACCCGCAGCCACGGGAAGCTCGGAGAACGCGGCCAGGCTGTGCTGCATCTGGGCCTTGCTGCAGGCTGGTGCTGCCACTGCTGCTCCTCACCCTGCTCCGCACTGCAGCAGAGCATCGCGCGTGCTACCTGCCCGTGCTGGCCGGGAGGAGCTGGGCTCTCCCAGGCAGGCATTGGTCTCAGAGACTAGGCAGGTACTGGCCTTCTGCAGACCTGAACCTGCTATCCTAATTTCAATTCAGCTGGGGTGGGTCAGGAAACGTCCTGGGTTAAGGCTTGAGACAGCCCTATAATGTGAATAGCCTCTGGCTGGGGCTAGGACGTGCCAATGAAAGCAAGCATGAAGATACGTATCCCAAAGTGGCTGCTTCCTTGTAGCATCTCCCTGCTGGGAGGTGGGGAGCAAATGGGGGGTAGGAGGGAGGTAGGAGCTTTCACCTGCTAAATGCCTGGAGCGACCAGACAGAGGAGAGCCTCTGGGTTCAGAGAAGTTTGGGCGCTTCTGCAGTTTTACTGCAATTACAGAGGAACAGGATCTCCAGTCTCCAGTGAGACTTCTATTTTCTGGTGTCTCTTCTCCCTCACCTCTTATCTACAGTCCCTGATGCATGTAGCAGGGTGTGGGATGGCCTTTAGATGTAAACAGCTCTGGATCAAAGTACAGTCTATATCACTTGAGTTAATTTCTCTCTTTCTCTCCTGCTGCAGAAGTAAAATGCAAAAGGGCGCAACTCCTGTATCAAAGTGGCTCCATTACTCCCTGTGGCTTTCTCTGGGTGATCGCCAATAGTCTCTGTGCCTTCTTGGCAGATGAAACATGTTATTGTCTTCTTTAAGACCAGCATGTGTCTGGGGAATTGGGGTTTGGAAAAGGTTCATAAATCACATCTGTATGTGGCTCATGCAGTGACTGTTTGAGATGGTCTCTATTATACATTGCTAATCTGAAAAGTGTTTTGCTCTGTCATGGGTATTCTTGTGGACTATTTATTTTGGTGAGGTAAAACCCAAATATGTCCTCCAGGCAGCAGTTACAGCACTGTTTTTCGAAGAAAAGCCTGTAGAAGAAGGGAGCTGAAAATGGGGGGGGGGGGGGAGCAGCAACTCCATCATAATTGTATGCAGCACGCACACACGCACGTTTATGTTTCTGTGTTCAAAACCCAACTGAATACAGTCCTGGGCAACCTGCTCTAGCTGACCTTGCTTGAGCAGGGAGGTTGGATCAGATCTCCAGAAATCCCTTCTGTCCTCAGCTATTCTGTGTTACTCTGTATATGTGAATACACACATATATATGTGTGTATATGTATACACATATATGAAACACAATTCTAAGCACCGTCCATCCTGAACTTGGCTTTTCCTGTAACTCTGGAGCCCATCTCCTCCTTCCCCAACTTGCTGCCTTCTATCGTTCCGTAATGCAAAGGCTTTTCTGTGGGCCAGGGACAGAGGGTAAGGAAGGGGACTTTTTTGGGGAGGAGGTGCTTTGGGAAACTGAGCTGTGTCCGTGGCTTGGGCAGCCCTTTGGGTGTTGTTATGTGCTCAGGGGCCAGTGCGCTAGGGAAGCGGTGGAGCCTCTGCACTCCATCTCGCCCCCTGACATTGCTGCTCAGCAGGTCACCCCCATGCAGAGCATTCCTCTTTTATGCCTGCCAGGCACGCTTGCTTGCTTTGGAGGGTGCATGCATGCCTGACCCCACTGTGCACGCAGGTGGTGGGAGAGGTTTCCTGCCTCGGAGCCAAGGGTGGGAAAGGATCTGGCCCTGGTGCTTTCCTTTGCTCTGGGGCATGACCCTGAGAAGACGCACTTTCAGAGGCTCTATCTGTATAATTTCCTCCCACACACAGATAGTATATGTATCCCTGTACTAAAGCACTTACTTACAACACGAGACAAAGCTCTGTGTGTGTGTGTGTGTGTGTGTGTATTGGAGGAGGCAAGGAGAGCTTAGAGGGAAGGGAAGGGAGAAGCACTAAGGAAGGGCAGTAATTACCTCTTTGCCTGTATAATGTACCTTTGTTACAACTGGTATATAACTGTTTGCTTTTGCTTGTTTCAAGGGTATAGGACAGTGCAGGCTACAATCTCAAAGGGCAGGCTCTAAGGCACCGACTGTTTCCAAGGAGTAGCCTGCAAAGTTGGAGTCCCTGATTCTGCTCGCTGCAATGTTACATGCCACCAAAGAGACCTGAAGCTCCAGGGGGGGAACCTGCTTTCTTCCCAGGACCTGCCAACCTTGCACAATGAAGTTTTGCTGTTTCCTGGGACTTGCACCAAGCTCCCCAAGATCCTGAGCAGAGCCTGCTACTACTCAGGATCCTAGTGCGGCTGCTTGGCCAGAGCAGGCCACGTTTGCATTGGGCATGAACACAACCAACCACAGAAATACAAAGTAGAGCTGGCCCATGCACACAGCAGGAGTTGCATTGCTCTGAGTTTTGAAACAAGAGGAGGCAACTACTTTTTGTGTATCACCTAAGCCACCATTGGACTTAATAGCCAGCAAATCAGCAATTAGTGAGTTAGCCATCCTGGTGCTTTGCACATGCATGATATTCTTTTCTTCATCACAGCAAAAGGGGAAAATCTGTCATTGTTCACATCTGAGATAGTAAGTCTTTACCTGAAATGATGGGGCCTGGCTGCCTTGGCCAATTGCTTTTCCAAATGTTCTGTAGCCACCCAAGGAGCTTCTAACAACAGCGACTTCTAGGTGGCTCAAAAATGTCTTTTGAGCGAATTTGGAGTATGTTTTCCTTGAGGTTTTATTCTCCTCTTCCTCTAGCAACCCATCTACTGTTTTCCAGTGAGGAAGCAAACCCCAGCTGTCTGAAGCCTTCTCCCTGCTCTGGCCCAGCTCTCCTTCTCTCCCCATCACTGGTACACTGACAGCAGCAGGGAATTGATGTCTAGTTCAGGACATCAGGTAGAACAGAGTTTATTCCTGCCTTCGGTGTCCTTGCTGGACCAGGGGTCTTGGCTAGACCCTCTGTTCTGAAGAGGGTTCCCTCATGAAGTTCCTGCTTGAGTGAGGGATGTGTTTCTTGGCCATCCCAATTGCTTCCAGTCCCAGCTGAAAGCACCGCCTCCTTCCATCTCCTCAACTTAGGAACCCCATCTCTAGCAAAGCATCATCATTGCTCAAAGTTTGGGATGGTACTCTGTGGAGCCACAGCCACTGCAGGCAGCCAGGTGACAAAAAACTAGCAGAGTGGTAGCACAGCTTGCGAGGCTTGGTGTTGCCTTTGGGGTGTAGCCATCCCCTGCAGCAGCTCTGCTCTTTGCTACCAGCCACGTGGCCTCTGCCACTGCTCCTAGGCGTGTTGATAGGGGCTGTGCAGGAGAAGCACGCTCCGGCTAGCGGTACTGACTGGCCGGCAGGGATGTAGCAGCCAGCTGCAGGACAGAAGGGTGTCAGGAAGGGTGCCAGGCTGCGCCAGCACCTCGGGGAGCAATGGGCCGCTTGGATGACCATGCCAAGAAGAGGATCGTGGAGTTGCGCAAAGCTGGGCTGAGCTTTCGCAAGATCAAGAAAGTTTTAGAGCTGGACAACATTCGGGTGACCCCCCAGGCGGTGTACCTCTTCCTCAAGCGGAAGAATGTGGAGCCCTCCCAGGCGACAGGAGCCGCGCTGCCCCAGCCAACAGGTGACAGGGCGCAGCACAAGGCAGGTGCCGGCCAGGCAGGCTGGGAGGATGAGCAGCTCTGGACCATGCTCCAAGAAAATGAGCCCGAGCAGAATGAGCAGGAAGCGGTGGGTCCCAAGCTCCCTGTGCTGCCCAGTGGAGGGGCCGCAGGCAGCGAAGGGCCCTGCCTCAGCGACGGCCGAGACAGCAAGGAAGGCATCAAGATTGTCAGTGTGACCTCGCTCTGCAAGGATGGCAGGCAGTTTGGGAAGCCTGTGCCCACGGGACTGCCTTCCGGGACCCAAGTGGCCCCTAGGAACAGTAAGGCCTGGCTTTCTACCCTCCTGTTCCTTCTTCTCAGGAAGCTCTCCCTAGCTAATGCCTGAGTAGTGGGGGGGGGGGGGGGGAAAAAAAACCCACAACTCTGCCTCTGTCCCAGCTTTCCAGTCCCATATGGATGGAGGGGGTGCCTCCAGTGCTATTCAACTATGGTTGAAATGCAGAGGAGTTTGGCTTCTGAGCATCAGTGGCAGCCCAGGCCCCAGAGCTGCACCCTGGAAGCTGTGCTGTCCAAAAAGGCTTTCTCCCTCAGGCCCGTGCTGGGCCAGGAGGCAAAGGGCTCTCCGTCCTCCACAGAGGGAGCCCTGAAGGAGAATTGGGGGGGGCGGGGAGGGTGGAAAGCCTCAGTTCAAGGTTCTCCTTCTGAAGCATTTCTCTCACCATCCCTTGCAGGTGATGACTGCTCTGTGAACCGATCGAGTACTCTGGGGAGCTGCCCGGCTCTCCTGCCCCCAGCCGTCCCCCAGCAGCCACTGCCCAATCGAGGGAGGCTCTTTGTGCCCCCTGCCAGGAACCCAGCCCTGATTGTAAAGAAGAAGATTGTGGATAGGGCTATTCTCCTCCAGAAAAAGGTACGAGGCAAGGAGATTTGGAGGGGCTGGAGTGTGCCTGGCCTGCTGGCATGGCTGCTGCAGCCAGGACCTGGCACTGTGCTTCGCTTACACAAGACACCTTGTTCATATCAACCCTGGTGGGATCCCAGGAAGCACTGAGGGCACAGGAGATGATGCCTACATGTGGGGCAAGGCGTGCCAGTGCCCTGTATGGTGGGCTTCATCTCTACTGCCCTTGTGAAGGCAGAAGCAGCAGCCCTGGTCCCTGGGTTGCCAACTCACCCTAGCTAATGCTCCCCACAGGGAACAGGCCCACATGCCTTGCCATGTCCATAGGCTTCCTTGCCAAGGAGACAATTTGTTCCTCAGAGTTAAAGCCTCGTTTAAACTGGGTACACAGGATAGATCATCAGGGGATTAAAGGCTCTATGCTAGCTGCACTCTTTAAGAAATTTAGCACTTGGCTGGCTTACTAGGGAAGTTTCCCCATTGTCCCTGTTCAGGGCAGTTGGATGAGGACTTCTGGGGGTAACGGGAAGGGGAGGTGCAGTTACTATTTGCTTTTGGAAAGGAGCAGCAGAGGTACTAGTTGCTATCAGCGTTTGGCCTCCTGAACCTCCAGTACGTAGTTCAGGGACTTTCCCATTAAGTTTTGGTTTTCCGTATAGGCTCAGAAGTTTTGCTTGAGCCCCACTGAGGACGTTGGCTACTTTGTGTTGGCAGAAGAGCAGTGCAGAAGGCGAGCTTCAGAACGTCTCTGGGAGATGATGAGCTGAGGAGGGCCAGGATGCGGGCAAGGAGGGTCAGGACTGCCACCCTTTAAGAAGCGTCCAGCCTCTGTGTTCTCTAACACGTACAACACTGCTTTGTAATGCCACAAAAACCTCGCAGGGTCTGGGCTATATATGCACAGCCATGTCTGACGCTTGCTATCCTCCCATCAGGTCAACATTCAGAATGGGCAGAGTCTGTCTGGCTCCACGACTGTCCTGCCTTTCCTGGTGGGAGTGCAGCCGGCCAGCCAGCCCCTGCAGGCAAACCCAGCTGTCCTGACCACTGCAGTGAGCCACAGTGCAAATGTAAGTGACCCAGGACTCCTAGGCCTAGCGCAGAATAGGTTGCCAGTAGGGTGAATGGGTCTCAGGCCAGTCCCAAACACAAGGCCAAAGCCCATCCTTAATCTGTTCAGAGTGGACTCTGACCTCCAGAGACTTAAATGATGGGTTATGCTATTGCACATGAAGAATCATAAGGCTGATGTTAGCACCTGCCTTTCTCATGATGGTCTCCATGGTACAAAATATAACAATGAGCCTCAGGGGGATCAGTGTCCTACATCCACCCAGCAGGAACTTACCCCATCTCTGCTCTGATGTAGCAAACTCCATGGGTCTTCTCCAGAGTGTTCAGGTGTTTGTCAAGCGCCCTTGCCAGCTGCTTGAGGAGCACCACGTTCAGCATCCTTTCTAGAAGAAACACTCCTCAGTGGCTCGAAGCCTAGTGTATGATTGATCGCTCTTGGGAAACAGAACAGCAAAACCACTTCTAGGGTTGTGCTTTGCAGGGTGCAACGCAAGAGGGGAAGGAAATAGGACACACTATTTCTATCCCTGTGGAAAGCAAACACAGGCCTGGCATGAAGCACATGCAGCCTGACTGCCATCTAGCTGCAGTCATCGCTGGGTGGCTTAAGCACTTCCTAAGAGCATGCACAGCAATGCCGTGTGCCACCAGACCAGAGGCAAAGAGGTTGGGTGTGGAGGAAGAGCAGATGGGAGCCCAGCGGGCCACAGCAAGGCTAGTACTACAGCTTTCGCTCCTGCTTTGTAAATGAAGCGCAGAATAAATCCTCTAGCTAATCCTCTACTGAAGGAGCAACTGATAATTTTTCACCTTCTCGTCTCTCCTGCCTCCCACTACTTCCAGGTCAAAGATGCCAGCACTCAGACTGCCCTGCTGAATATTGCAGGTCCTGGAAATCAGAGCCTTGCATGGGGGGGGCCAATGCTTCCCCCTGCTCCCAGCTCCCATGCCGTTGCTGAAAAGTTGGATGCTGTACACACAGAGATCCAGAAACTGAGTCAGGCGATGCATGCGGTCCTGGAGAGGCAATGCTGCCTAGAGCGCCAGCAGGAGCATCAGCAGCGACTCCAGCAGGAGGTGTTGATGACGCTGCAGCAGCTCAGCTCCACAGTGAGCCATGGGACTGTGCCAGGAAACCAGCCCTGTGTCCCCTTCAGCAGCATGGCTGAGCCCTCGCCCACTGTGCCAAACTTCAGCCAGTTCAAGATGGAACTAATTTGACCTTGCATGATGCCAAAGTGCAGGGCTGGAGTGAGTGCAGGGAGGGATGCCACTGCAGAAGGATAAAAGGCATGAAGAAAAGCAAGCTCTAATGCTTCAGAAGCTGTGTCAGCTGCCTCAGGATTATGTCTGGCATCTGGCAGAGGAAGGTCACTGCTGCATTGTGTCTTGCTCTGCTTCAGCCTTGTCGACTAAAAGGAGCTGCGTGGCATAAGATAACAGGGCAATAGAAAGCTGAAGCCTCACTTCCGCCATGCTGCCCATGCTGGCTGGTACTGGAGTTGGCCAGTTGCCCACGGACTTCAGCTGCTCAGAAAGGCCAGCTGGAAGCAGAGGTCAGCTAGGAGAGATGCAGCGGGGAGGCAGGTCCCAAAGAACGACATGAGACTTACTCTCATGGGAGCTGGTATTGTGAGAGTCAATCACACGAATGCTTTGTACCCTCCCCCTGCAGAGTCTTGTTCAGTAAAAATCTACATACACTGTGGTTCAGAAAAGTGTGGGATCTATTTCTCCATTTTACCTACACATCCCCTGATCAGTGACCAGGCTGGATACATCTGAGACTGTTCTAGCTGCCACCATGCGTAGAGCTGCTCAGGGTGGTCAAGCCTATGAAGTGAGACCACTACTCTGTACACCGAGGCCATTACTGGAGGCATGGCATCAGTCACCACACAGTTAGGGATAAATCTCACTTGTGTGGGAAACAGATTCTTCAGCCAAGCAGCTTCCACCTAGGTCACCCTCCTCGCCCCCAAATTCCCAGCAAATCTGGAGTGTGGCACTAGCCTTTGCTGCTGCTCAGCATCCGGCCAGGGTACAGGCTGCAGTCAGAGTCTCACAGGACTGTATGTTTAAAGGGATGTGAGCTGAGTTGTGTGCCGACGTGAGTCATGTATTTGTTTCTCCTCAAACCCTTCTTCTGTAACTGGTCAGGATGTCCTCCTGGCTTTGATTCCCAGCAGTAAGACCTCTCACCTATAGCAGGCTGCCAATGGTACAGACTTGCTCAAACTGCTCGAGAGAGATTTCAGGGGTATGATGCTGAGAAACCTCTCCTGCATGGATGAGAAGGGCTTGAGGGGGCTGATGTATCTTCACTGCAGCAGTCGAGTCCAGAGTGACTAGTAACTGGACTTGCCTTCCAGGGGAAAGGACTGCCAGGTGAGGGGACCTCTGTTCAACATCCAGCAGCAAATCTCAAGAGGAGATGAATACATCCTTCCTCTGCATCAGTCAAGGACATTTCTTTCTTTCTGGTCACCTCAGTGAGCATAAACTTTGCCTAGAAGAAGTCCCCAGCCTGTTTTTTTGGACTCCTTTAGTTGGAGGCCAAAATTTAGAAGTGTAAAAATAATTCAAGCATTAAAATATATATATGTGTGTGTGTGTGTGTGTGTGTGTGTGTGTGTGTGTGTGTGTGTATATATGTATGTATGTATGTATATATATATATAAAAAGCTGTATTGTGAGTGTTTTGCAGGTCCTTTCAGCAATCCTGGTGGAGGATGGCACTCGACAGCCAGTCTGCCACCCACAGACACACATGCCTGACCCAGAGGCGATGGATCCTGCCACCACAACTGTGCCTGGGAGCATTAGAAATCTGCTGCAATCTCCCTGCGGTCGTTCATTTCGATGCTGGTGTAATTTAGGGGATGTCTGAAAAGCAACGGACAAGATAAAATGCAAGATTAGTTGCTTTGCTCTTTTGTACAAGGCAGCTAAGAAGAATCCTATCTCCCCTCCTGTGTTCTAGAGTCAGGGTCTTGTGCAGAGATGCTGAAGTTACAGCCACTCTGTATATCTCCGTTTTGTATTTAAAATGAAGAGGCTAAATGATGAGCCTTCAGCAGACACGAAGTTTGCTAAAGTCTCTTAATATTTTGGGGGAAAAACAGGAGTAGAACACCTAGCATCAACTTGCACATAATTACTATACATCAGCTTAAGACCACCCTGATTTCTAAAAGAGATGCCCCAAACCTGACTTAGGGTATTTAAAAAATTCCTTTAAAAAATACATACTGAGTTTTTTCTATTCTCTAGATGAGTTTTCAGAACTTTAAGAACTTTCCCCACTTCTAGCACTCACACATCAGCATCCAGCTGAATGCTCAAAACGTACCCAATCAAGAAAAGTTCATGAAAAGAAATCATCTGGGCTCATTAAATAACCAATCCACTATAACACTTTTTCAGTGAAAATGCAATTTGAGTATTAAGCTCTTGTTTGCCTTTTGACAATATTAGAGACAACTGAGTAATTATTTGAAGTGTGTCATGTTATAATATGGAAGCTGTTTTCTGCTGAAGTTACTTCCATCCTGCTCTAAGGAACAGCTCTTCCCTATTGCCACAGTGCTGCCTCTCAGTATTCCCTGCGTGCCAGGAACCTTCAGTTCTCTGACCAAAACACGATGGCAGTACAAATGATAAGACTGATAGATGTTACACTGTAGTCAATGACACAGCTAGCATTATTCATGGATTTAATCAGTCATTATCTTAACCTCTTGCACAACCTCCAGTCTACCACATCAAAAGCAGAGAGGGTTTACTGCAAAAATTAGGATCTACATATTGGAGTGTCTGGGTACAGTGTCTGAATGTAGGCATTCAGCTGAGTGAAGGAGCAGGTTTTTGCACAGTGGTCAGAAAGGAAGTCTGTGGTTTCCCTGAAACACTGTGCAAGGAAGGGGTGAGGTGCATGGCAGATGGAAAAACAAAGACAGTTTCTCACCTTCTGATGAAGTAAAATGCTAGGCCAACCAACAGGAGCAAGAGGAGGAGAGATCCCACAACAAACAGGGCAATTTCCCAGCCCTGGAAGGAGGCTGAGGGTGGAAAAATAGAGATGGAACATTAGTCATGATCTTCCCTTAGCCTTCCAGAGGTCAGCTTCTCCCAGCCTCCTCATGTACAGCGCCCCCACACACCCCCCCTTCCACCTCCCCGGAGAACATTCACCTCTCAGCATTCTTGCTTTCGCTTTATTACAGTTTGGGTGCCAGCTGGTGCCTCAGAGCAGGAGGACTTTTGGGTTTCTTTACTGTATGCCTTATCAGGCCAAACAGCAAGGGCTCCCTGTCAAAGCTCAGTCTCACAATGAGATTTACACATTTAAACTTCCAGGGGTATCTACAGGTCTTGCTATACCTTTGGGGATGGGACATCCATAGTAAGGTTGATTAGTCAATCACCTGTCACACCGAGGAACCAACTGTTGTTACAACTCGTTAGCTTTTAGAAGACAACTTTGCTTAAGAAGCATCATAGGTCCCTGATATCCGCTTTAAATTGCCTCCTTTGTCCTGATTACTCTTTAATGTGGAGATACAGCAGCCCCAGCCCTGCTTGCTGTGCTGGAAGCAGAGATCATTGTGTTAGTTGTCTCCTACTCACAACTACTCTGCAACATCGACGGTGCACTTTTCAAGGCGACACACTCAGCACTGCTTTTCAGCATTCTCCCTTCCACAGAGAAGGGGTGGGGGCTGGCCAGGAAGCCTTGGCGCCAGGCTATGATGGACTGCTGCTCCTCCGGCAGTCGGGCCCACATCTGGCCTGAGACCTTCAGCAGGGAGTCCACGCATGTCAGGTTCAGCTCTGTGGAAAAGTAACAGAGGGTCCTGACTAAGAAGCTTGAAACCCTGCCACTGTTTGGCAATAAGTTGCTCCTATGTCTTTATGTCCAACCCCAATACGCTCCGTGCCCTCCATTCACCTACTTCTCTTTGTGCCTCTGGAATCACCCCACAGCAGACTGCACTTCATCCCCTGCAGAGCAGGTAACTCAAGCACATACTCAACCTTTCTTTCAGTGACAAAATGAACTTGGAGCTCTCCTCCTATCCCAGCAAAATGCTTTGTACTACACTTACAGTGACCTAATAACGTCAAGACCTCTACCTTTTGGTCAGAGTTGTTTGAAGTTGTTCAAAGGATCAAAAGGATCTTCTGCCAAAGAAATTGTTCAGGACAGGGAGGACTGGCAGCTGACATGACTGCATAGCCTTCATTTCCTTACATAACCAAGCCAAAAATAGGAACCATTTCTTTCCATCTCTCAAAAGCTGTAGGGCACTAAGACTTTTGGAAGTGACTTTTTATTCTAGGTACTTCAAATAAATATAGGACACTCCAAAGGAGTCTAATTCAGAAAGGGTTGAGAAACCCCCCTCCTCTGGAGGCCAGAGTTCTCTAGAGCGTAAATGACTTCTTGCTTTGCAAGTTTAGATTTGCCTCACAGACATCTCAAGGCATCATTTACAAAATCTTTCTCAGGCAACCTTGCTCTGCCCTGGTCCCACCTCCTAACTGATAGTTAGCCATAAATGTAACAGTTGGTGGGGACATCAGACCTGTGATCTCAAGCTGTCTGGCTCAGAAACACTGGGCGAGAGACAAGGACCATTTCCAAAGGGGTGTGACACTGATATTAAGAGTTATTGGATAACAAAGACTCATTTCCACCAGGCTGTGGCAGGCTAAAGTTCAAGATGCGCTTGGAAGCATTCTGCCTCCACCTCAGAACTAGCCCTCCAACCTGGCTATACAGAAGAAAACATGGGTTCGAGTAGATGTTTTGGCTAATTTCAGTTAAACTGTCATATTCCTCATAGTCCCTTATATTTGCCCATGCTGTAATAAGCAGCCCATACCAGATTCCTCCATGCTCTCCTTAATGAAATTCTGTGTATCCACTGCTGCCTGTCCAGTTCACCTCATTCGTGTTACCAGTGTGAGAGTCCTGCAAATTAGGCTTGAGAAAAGGCCTGTCTCTTGTAACTGCCTCAGTGCTCTCCTGACATCTCAGGAGGAGAGGGAATATAACTCTTCCTTTGGCGCTTGTCCGTGGTGGGAGAGGGGGGAAGGCATTGCAAACCACGTGAATGGAGTGGGGAACTAACCCTGTAGGTAGAGCTCAGAGACACCACAGGAGCAGTTCTCCTCTAGAGAGTTCAACAACATCTTTCCCATGCTTTTCAGCATCCTCTCGTGGTTCAGGGTCCACGTGGAACAATCTATAAGAAGAGGAGAAGTGGTTACTTGAGTGCAGCTCAGGCCTGTTCATAAGCTTCCAGCTGTGTTCCCCTTCCAAAACACCTGCCCTCACATCTGACCTCATGAGCAAAGCTGACCAGAGTCTGGTTACTGCTTGGTGGGAGCCTTTAGCAGGAGCTGCAGCCTATGTATTAAGACGGGTGCTTGCAGGGGAGGCTCCCTCAGGGTCAGAGCAACCAAGCCTTGCAGACCAAGCCTGGTGGGGAAAATGAGGTTCCCTGGCTTGCTCCAATATTTACGGGGAAGAAGGAGTTGCATCCCATCCTCCTCTTTTTATACCAGTGGACCCTCTTTTCTGCAGGTATCTGCAAGGTGGGTCTTCCCTTCCGACCTTCTACTGACACATACAGCAGTTTTACTCCTTTGCCAAATCTTTAACCTCATTTGTATCTCAAAACACCATCAGACCATCCAAACTCAGCTGGTTAAGAGAGGCCTGCCAAATTTCAAGAGATGGGAAACTAGCTTTCACTTTGCAGGTCTCTCTTGTGCACTTCAAGCCTCATGCTTCGGTCTCTCCCCTGCTCAGTGACCCAGGAGCCACATACACAGTGTGTTAAGCGCCCTTTAATCTGCTAGCTATCTGTGCCTGCGGTTTGGCCGGAGAGCAAGAATGAAGCCATGGCATTGTGCCTGCAACCAAAGAGTGTGCCAGCTGGGTTCAAGGGAGCCAGTGAAGAGGCATGCCCCTCTCCTGTCCCCCAAACCAGCACAGAGCAGTCTTTTGTGCAAGGAGAAGATGGAGAGGTCCGCTACCTGCCCCTCTTAGACCTCAGTCCCAGGCTGCCTCTCTCAGAAGGTTGGAGGAGGAGGAAAGGTACTCTCTCAGTTTGACTGGGAAGGGGTTGAAACTCCTGTTTGAACACAGCATGGAAAATCAGAGTCTGGACTGTTCTCCAACAGGCCAAGAGCGTGTAGAAACTGCAGATTCTTCATTGCAGCCTGCAATGAGCAATAAACATGGAACCCTCCATTTCACTTAACCCAGGTCTTGCCTGCTCCAAAGCTGATCAAAGTGTGGCCTCTGCAGGGGCTGAAGACCCCAGTGTACATCCAGTTGCTGGCCCCAGGGTCAGGATTAGGCCATTCCTCTTTGTTCTTACTGACGGGCTGGGACAGGTTTGCTTGCAGTTTCCCTGACCATGCCCCAGTCATGAGAGACCTGGAGGAGGATTTCCTGTCATGACTGGAAAGCTAATTGACTTTCCACTTGGCTGAAAAAAAAAATCTCAAGAGCATGGTTCAGCCCCTGTGTGAGCAGAGGCATCTCAAATGAAATATGCTGCCACCTTCATACAAACACACACCAAAAACATAAGTAAGGCTGCCCACTTGAGATAGCGGTGTGTCTTCTATCACATCAACACACCAGTATCTATATTAACTCTCTCTCCTGCGCACATTCCCCTTTCACTGCTGGAAGACAGGAGGCTCCACACTCCAGCGCCTACTCCTTCCTGCCCCACTGTGGGCCACGGGAAGTCACACAATCAGCACAACATTTCCCTTCCAGCCTTCCCTCCCACCCCAGTCCCTTCCCAACCCACCCCTTCCACACACTGGTGGAAGCAAGCAGCACTGCTTACTGGGTGTCAGGAAACACAGATTAAGATCCACCGCAAAGGAGTTCTGGGGACATATGTTCTGCAAGCCAGGCGTAGGGTCCGAGACAGCAAACTGCAGCTCTGCGCTCCCATTGCAGCAGGAACAACGGCTCAGAGATAGAGGCCTGTCCTCGAGAAAAATGAGTCAAATCTCACCAACACACCACATGGATTTCTTCACAAATCCCCTCCAGAGCCGCAGTTCTTGACATCACCGGGGATGGCGGCTAGTTTTCTGGAACTGGAGTTTAAGTCAATTTTTGCAGGGCCTTCACAGAGACAGGCCTGTCTAATGCCTTCAGCTGGAGAGGACTTGGGTTTGGCCAAAGCAAATCTACTTGATCTGACTGGTTTCTAGAGGAGTGAGGTGGATGCCTCATTACATCCAGGCACCCAATATTAAGAGCTAGTTCTCCAGAATAAGGAGGTTTCCCAGCTACACACTGTTTGCTCTTGGGTTTCACTGACCTTTTGCTTCCCTCCCCAGGCCAAGATTTGGAAACATAATTAAGCAGTGAAAGACCACGTTTTCTGAAGGAGGTAGTTAAGGGCTAGACTGACCGAGGCAGTCTGGAATCTACCCATGTGAGCTCTCCAACTTAACTGCCTGCTTGGATGTTATGAATAACTGCCTTGGAGAGCTTTTAGCATAAAGTTTCTGTGAGCCAGAAGCCAGAGATTCAATTTGCTATGGAAATGACACATATGCCACAGTGCTCTGTGTATGTGTGCTCATATGGGTAGGTTATGCATTCCTGAAAACCTGGAACCTGTTGTCAAACCAAATGGTACAATAGGATAAAAGACTTAAAGAGGACAGCTTTAATTAAAAGAGGTGAACTTGTGGAAAGGAGAAACTCTTCTACTGTTTTCACTAAGAGAAAGGCTAAACCCTATCCTTTGTTAAGCAGAGAATCCACCTACCAGTGAAAGGGAAGCCAGGCTTTGTTTCGTTCTGCTGCTCACAGAGCTACCCCCTTTCTTTTTTGAAGAAAAAAAAAGTTTGGCAAAGAAGCATACACAGCAGCTATCTGTGAAGGCTGAATTCCTTCACGTGATGCCATTTATATCCCTTGAGAAAAGCAAGTTAAGTGAGCAGTGAGGTAACAAAGCTGAATTCCCTATGCTAAGGGAGGGAAAACATTTTCCATTGCAATATGCTACCACCTCTCCATTTTTCATCACAACTGTGGTGAATACATTCAGCTTTACAGGACACAGGACGAGGCAGCAAGCTCAGAGATATGGCCCTTGGCGTGAAGAACCTACAGACGTTTTCCAGAGGAAGTTGCCTCACCTGTCATCCTTGCAGGGCACAACGTAAGATGGTCCAAGGAAGTTCAAATGTCTTCCAACTGTGCTGGGCCCACATGTGTAAACCACAGCATCCACCAGGTTCTCTGATGTTGCCTTCATGTCACCAGGAATCAGATTGGTGTTGTACACAGCAATAGCACTATAGCCTTCACTAGCAGCAGAGATGTCCTTGAAAGTCAGCTTCATCTCATCTGGAAATGCCAGGGGGATAAATGGGGTGAACATCTAGACAGCTTTAGGGCCTTGAGCCTGAAAGGACAAGTTGGTAACGAGGAGTGGATTTCACTGGAGAACTCCAAGAACAGAAATGGCAAACAAAATAATGATAGTGATGGGCCAAAAAAGCTGTAGAGAAGCCACTGCTTGCTGTGAACACAGGTTTCCGAAAGGTCAAGATTCCTCTAAGATACAGGGTGCTCTTCATGCAACCCAGCCAGCATTCAAAAAGAACAAAAATAGAGATCAATGCATGTGCCAAGCAAATACCAGCTCAGCACCAGGAGGAGGCAGCAGCATTGCAGGGTGCTGGCTCATCCAGCCTCAGAGGCAAGTAAGATATCAGTGAAAGAAGTGACAGTGGACTCCGTTTCCTTAAAAGCTACTTGGCCGTGGTACTGGCAAGAGGAGCTTTCAGTCTTCCAGGTCCCTCTGCCCTACACCAACAGCTCAGCAAAGCAACTGATCTATGATTAAACACTTGCTCAGCAGGAGCGTCATGGAACACCCCACTCCAAATAGAGAGAAAAATGACAGAAACAGAGGAAAAGGGAGAGAAGAGTTAGTATCCCACTGTCTAACCCTGCCACGCTGCCCTTTTCTCAAAATCACTCAATCACCTGTCCATTTGGCTGTCTAAAACACGCAAGGGCAGCCCGAAAGCCAGACACTGAAGGAAGGGAGCGTCTGCCTGCCAGACTGTACTGTTAGCCTTACCATGCTTGGGCCCTCCGTCTAGTGTAACCACAAACAGGCCCGTGACTCCAAAGGTGCCCCACAGCGGGATGCTAGCATAGGTTTTACCCTCTTTCTCAGAGAAGAATACCAGGCTGTGTCCTTTCAGGCTAGCTCCAGGCTTCCCCTTCAGCTCAATGAAGGGATAGGGAGCAGTGCTATTAACCAAACACAGCTCATTGATGAGGATGGCAGAATCGCTAGGAAGCAGAGCTGAGGAGTTGCTGCAGGAGTTCTCTTGAAGCGGTGTCATCACGGTCACCTGTGGGGAGACAGACAAACTGCTGCAATCATTGCTACTCTCCTTTCTTCAGGTGAGGATATTGCTCCTCACAGTGCTACCTCTTGTTTGGGTCTCCCTGCTCCCCCAAGGTAAGACCCAAAAGAGGATATGGTTGGTTCTGTCTCCCAGCTGGATAGAAGCCAACTGCTCCTCACCTCCCACCACCTCGTCCAAGGGTTGTACTAACTGTGAGATCACATCGCTACACATCCCCCATTGCTGCCTTCCTTTTTTCA